TAGGTGCTAAGTATATCCAAGTTTTGAAGGAAACCGGTCAGTCTATTTCTGAGATACAGCTCCGGACGCACGCTCGGACTTAGCTTGAACGGGGACTAATAACAGTAGAATCCTTATCAATATTTCAATCCACATTAAAATATATCTTAATTACCGTGACCTCGTTAATGTGATACGACAGATAAGGTCTATCTAAGTTATGTACTTAGTGCTTTCTACCAATATACTATCACCGTATCAGGGTATTATTATGCATTATACTGTATACGTTGGAATATCGTCTCTCAAAACCAACAAATGCTTCGATTGAGATTTTATCGTTCAAAGTTGAGGAGGAAAGTTGTACGTTCATTCCAATATTTACCGATTAATTGATGCTCATATTTAAGACTTTGTGAAATGAATCTTTACCATCTTTCTAAAAAAAAAATAGCTTGTTTAAATTGCATATTCTGTATATCTAGCAGAATACCGATTGACGCATGCTCGGCTCATTGACAGTTCGAACACTAGTGTACGAAGTTACTTATTTTAACCAACTTTTTTATAGCCCAATTCAAGTAGGGACCATTTCGTTTCTTGGTTCAATTCAATTGACAATATTGTTTATGAATTTGCTCTACCCAGAGCCCAGAGGGACAAAGGCTCATGAATTTTTTTCATAGGTCCACGTAGACATAGATTTCTAGGATTTTCACATCGAAAACCTAAATGTGTTTGTGTTTGTGACATAATTTGGTATAACCTTGTATAGAATCATCCTTTCATAACAAATCACGACTCAAAATGTGTGTTGTCTATTCCAAATGAGTCACGAAAGTCATAAGAGGTCAAAATACATTGTAGGTCATAAGAGGTCAAAATACATTGAGATTTTATAGAAGTTTTAAATCATTCAATATCTTTTGTTATAAGACCAATTAGGTAATCAAAAATTGTGGAATTTTCTGATGAGCTCTTCAAATACTAGATGTATTTTTTGCACTACGAAGCCTTATAAGATACACTGTATGAACACACAGACACATCATAGGAATAGATTACAATGTGTATATTTTGTTGTAGGGTAACATACATGAAATGCCCTATGACAAATGATTCTTTGGTTCAGTGTTAGACACTTCCTACTGACAGCATTGTAATAGAAGCGGCAGTTAGAAAACAGAGAATCATTATCATAGGTCAAGTTATCGTGACTACACTAAACCTGTCCAGTTATGTTCAAGTGATATGGATGTTCATGATGATGTTGATGGGGTACATGGAAATGCAGAAATACTATGATGCTGCCGTCCATTTTTCTAACATTTGAAATGTGGTATGCACAAAGTGTGATATGATTACCTTGACAGAACTCTCATCAAAATTATCTGACAAACCCTGTGCGACAGTAGTAAAAGCTTCCATTAAGCACCGACAACTAATGCTGGATGGTATATCCTGGCATCCCTAGATATTGATAACCTCGTGTTGAAATATTATTCTGTAAACAGGAACTGGAAGTTATTCAATCAAAAACACGTGAAAACAGTGTTACAAGAGCTGATCTAGCACTACACACGTATAATTAGCAACAATCGATTTGGGAGCATTATTCGACGACAAAGTAAAATAACAACCTGGCCTTAGCACTGATGAGTGTAAAATATTGTGCAGACATATCTCGTGTGGAGCTGCAGTCGTCAGGGCAGGTGCCATCATATGTACAGCTCTTTCATCCATACCTGGGTCTCTCAAAATTGGAGACATCCCTGGCCAATGAGTTAGGCTTGACCTGAAATGTGGCATGATTGCTCACCCAGCGTCAGGAAGATTAAGGGTTTGATTCACGTGGTCAGCTGCCCAATCTGCTATGAACAAAAGAGTTTGAGACCTCCAGGGAATATGGCTTCCAGTTAGAGGGGATGTAAAACTGAATGTCTTATGTATTGTTCCTGTCTTCAGTGCACATAAAACATAAAAAAGTAGCATATAACTGCAGGATAACTGAAACTTACCCTGGAAAAATAAAGAGAGCCATGTGTTTTTGGCATTATAGACTATTCTCTATAAATAAAATTTAATTCACATCAAATTCAAAATCAGAATGCTGCTGCATGAAAAGCATTATTCTGGCCATGGATTCAAGTCTATCATAGTTGTCTATGGTGTTTTTGTACTTAGCATTGCTTGTTCAAATGCCATCAGAAGAGAAACTACAACGAGGGCGAAGTACATGAACAAAAACATTCAAATGAAAACTATAATGGGCGATAGGTTGCCCCAGGTTTTAATTATATTTCACACCTTCACTGGTTGTGACTGCATTCTCTGGGCATGCAATGTGAAGCCCAATAAAAGCAACTGAATCAAGCTATAGTAACAGGCTAAAACTTCTTACATACAAATGCACATCAAAACAGTGTATATGTTTGGACAATGGCCTCAAATGCACATTATATGTGCCGGCTACAGAAATAAAAAACAGGATGAAGGTGACGAAGTATGTGAGTAAGACTGTTCTGATTTAGATGATGGGAGGTTTAAAAGCATCCAGAACTATGATCAGTTGAGGTAATGATATTAACTAAGAGAACAAAATGTGTCGAACTGTCTTGAAGATATAATTCTAAGCTATGTCTATTTCGAGCCATAAGCCTAATTTTATTGACTGTCAAATAAAATGATGCAATAGTACTAAGCGTCTAACAATTCAGAACAAACTGAACACAGAAGACTTTTTAGCCTCAATAGGCTCATGCTTCATTTATTGAGATGATATGTAATATGACTTTGTAATGAACACTTTGGGAGTTTTTCCTTCATCTTATAGTGTGATGTAATGTGGTAGTGCTGATTAAATATATCGTAAAATAAACATTTCTGCTAAAACATACCTCGACGCATTAGTTTTCATTTCAATAATTTAA